CAGTGGTCAGTGTGTACAGGCCCGACCCCGGCTGCCGAGTGAAGGTAGCCAGGTGACGACCCGTCTGAGCACACGTGCAGTGTGTCACACGCTCGTAGGCAGGGGTGAACTGGTGAACACCCGCGTCCTGGAGCGCAGAACCCGCCACCAAGTTCGTACAGAATGAGGGGAGGTAAAGACCCGACAGTGTGCCGGACGGGTCAGCAGGACAGGGGAGGACAGTGGTGGAGGTCGCACGGACTGGACCCCCAGAGGGGTCTGCCAGAGAGACTGCAATCGGCCGACTGAGCGGCGTGAGGGTGGTGCTGTCGCGAATGAAGGAGCGAGAAGCACCGGAGTCAAGTGTGAAGGTGGAAAAGGCCTCAGCAGGCGCAGTACCAGAGAGACCAGTCTCACCAGCACCTAAGGCAGCAGCCTCACCAGCACCTAGGGCAGCAGCCTCACCAGCACCTAGAGCAGCAGGCTCTATACCTGGGTCAGGCGGTACGCACAGGTAACAGGCACCGTCAGCACTAGTAGGCAATGCATACATGGCAGTGAGAATAACATCATAGTCAAGAGCAAATACATCTACCCTCTGCCCAAGCAGCTCCAGCCAGGTGGGGAGCTCAGCCTCGTCGCCAAACTCGGTACGCCAGGCGTCGCTCAGACGGGCGAAGCAGCGGAACTGTGTGTGACCAGGTGTCCCGCAAGGCTGACCAGCCCGATCACCTGTGCGAATGACGTACGGGAAGCGAACGGGACTCAAAGACCCTCTACTCTGAGCGTACCACTCGTGAAGCTGCTGGGAAGTAAGTGTCTCGCGTGGACGCCGGTGCAGCTGCAGCTGGCCACTGCCAGACGCTCCCAACTGACCAGCTCCAGGGCGACAGCTACGACGGCTACCGCCACAACCCCAATTAGCATACCACTCACGAAGCTGCTGGGGCGGGAGAGACTCGCGTGGATGTCGCTGCATCTGGCCACCGCCAGTAGCAGCAGTAGCAGTAGCAGTAGCCTAGCAGTAGTAACAGAAGGAGCAGCAGTAGCAGCGCAGGCAGGGCAGGCGCGGCAGGCAGGCAGGCAGGCAGGCAGGCACGCAGGCAGGCAGGCAGGCAGGCAGACAGGCAGGCTGGCAGGCAGGCAGATGGCGCGGCAGCGCGCTAACCAGGCGGGAAGGGCAGGCGCTCGCCGGGCGAGCAGGGCCGGCGCTCGGCGGGCGGCTGCACGGGGACCAGGGGCGGCGTCGCGGGTCCAGGGGCGGCGTCGCGGGGTCCAGGGGCGGCTGCACGGAGTCCAGGGGCGGCTGCACCAGGGGCGGCTGCTTCAGGGGCCCGAGGCGGCTGCTCGGGGTCCAGGGGCGGCTGCTGCAGGGGCCAGGGGCGGCTGCTCTGGGTCCAGGGGCGGCTGCTCGAGGGTCCAGGGGCAGCTGCACCAGGGGCGGCTGCTTCAGGGGGCAGGGGCGGCTGCTCTGGGTCCAGGGGCGGCTGTTCGAGGGTCCAGGGGCGGCTGCACCAGGGGCGGCTGCTGCAGGGGCCAGGGGCGGCTGCTCGAGGGTCCAGGGGCGGCTGCACCAGGGGCGGCTGCTTCAGGGGCCAGGGGCGGCTGCTCTGGGTCCAGGGGCGGCTGCTCGAGGGTCCAGGGGCGGCTGCTTCAGGGGCCAGGGGCGGCTGCTTCAGGGGCCAGGGGCGGCTGCTCTGGGTCCAGGGGCGGCTGCTCGAGGGTCCAGGGGCGGCTGCACCAGGGGCGGCTGCTTCAGGGGCCAGGGGCGGCTGCTCTGGGTCCAGGGGCGGCTGCTCGAGGGTCCAGGGGCGGCTGCACCAGGGGCGGCTGCTTCAGGGGCCCGGGGCGGTTGCTCCAGGGGCGGCGTAGCTGGTGCAGGGCAGCGCGTGGGTCCCACAGGTGCCGTGACGGGCGACGGGGGGCAGCGCGCCGTCACCGGAGAAGGTGACGCGTGGGGCCGGCGGCAGGCTGCGCGGGCGGGTGACGTAGCGCGCGGGGCCGAAAACGGGCTACTCGGGCGGCGGACCCGGCGCGCAGGGCCTAAGCGGGCTGCGCGCGGGCAGCTTACGCGACGCGCGGGCCGGCGGCAGGCTGCGCGGGCAGCTGACGTGGCGCGCGGGGCCGAAAACGAGCCTAAACCGGCCTAAACGAAGAGCGCGCGGGCTGCTCAAGCGGCGCGCGCGGGAAAAAAAAAAAGGGCCGCGCGCGTGCAGCCGAGGCGCGCGCGGGCAGCAGGCAAGGCAGGTGAGGAAACGTGGTAACGGTGGGCCCTTATCTTAGGTCCTAGAGACCTCTAGGCTCTAGATACCATCTTAGAATCTTAGGCATGAAGTTGTGTGATTGATTAGGTCAAGGGGGGGTACAAGAAGAATGTCGAGAGAAATGTTGTACCCCCTAGTGCTAACCCCCATATAGCCTAGACAACCTAAACATAACATATAAATATAACTTGACACAGCACTCCCAGCAGCACCTCCACCAGCAGCAGCAGTAGCACGAGCAGCACGAGCAGCAGTAGTAGCAGCAGGGCGGCTCGGTGGGGTTAGCGAATGAGGTAGGGCGGCGCGGCTCGGGTTGGGCAGGGCGGCACGGGCTGGGCGGCGCGGCTCGGCCTGGGCGGCGCTGCTCGGCAGGGCTGGGTGGCGCAGCTGGGCAAGGCAGGGCGCGCCGTGGGCTGCAGGGCAGGGCGCGCGGTGGACAGGGCAGCAGGGCGTGACGTGCGGGCTGCAGCCGGGCGCAACGCGAGGGGCAGCAAGGCGCGACGCGCGGGCTGCAGCAGGGCGCGACGCACGGGGCAGTAGCGTGCGACGTGTGGGCTGCAGGGCGCGACACGCGGGCTGCAGCAGGGCGCGACGCCCAGGGCAGTGGGGCGCGCGCTAGGCAGGACAGCAGGGCGCGATGCGTTGAGCTGTAGGGCAGGGCGGTGCACGGGCCTAAGGGCAGGGCAGCGCGATGCACGGGCTGCATGGCAGCTGGGCGCGGGCTGCAGGGCAGGGCAGCGTGCGCTGGGCAGGGTAGCAGGGCGCGACTCGCAGGCTGCAGCAGGGCGCGACTCGCAGGCTGCAGCAGGGCGTGACGTGCGGGCTGCAGCAGGGGAGCGCGCTAGGGCAGGCGGTGCGAGTAGCTGCAGGGCAGCGCGACACTGTGCGAGCAGGGCCGGACAGCGCAAGGGCGCTTGGGCAGGAACTAGCGGAACTATCAGTGTGCCTTAAAAACCTTACAGGTTTCCTGCTCTGAATACCATGTCTGAATCAACTGTGTAGGAATGACTAGAAACAGGGCAGTACAGGTTTGTATAGGCTAACTCTAATTGGGTTTGTGCCCCGTACTGAGTAACCCACTATAGCTTAGCAAGTAGAATTGTATCTTGACAGGTGTGGTAGCCGGTGGAGATGTTTTCCGAAGCCTTGTCAGTTTCGCAGTGCTGTTTCAACAGTGACAGTGTCAGCTTCTCAAAAAGATGCAGTCACTAGATTTTGTCACTTCGTGTCTCATGTAGTCCGGGATGATCCTGGCTTTTAACTCTTGCGATATCCCAAGGTGAGTGCCCCAGCGATCTCGATCTGTGAAATTTCCGGTTCGGGCAACGTGGGTTCTGTACTGTACCACGCAGCCGAACACTTGAAGCAAGTGCGTGTCAGCTATTATACCCGTCCCAATGAGGTGTTGTTTTCAAGGCTTTGGGATGACAGCATGTTATGCAGTCACAGAGCATGGTTCATGGCGAATGTCCAAAACCGTGGAGAGCTTGTTGATTGCTTCATGAGCGCTTGCATCATGATCACAATACCCCTGTTTTTACTTTCTTCTACCCCTTGCGATGATTGTTGCGTTGATTCGGTTGAAGGCGTGAGTCTCGTTGCCATGCTCGCTCCCCTTTCATGCGATGACCTCAATCTGCTTCTCCACGGGAAGGACGGCCTCGTCACGGTCCCTGATTGGCACGCGCAAACGGTCTACCACAGGTACTGTCCGGAGGAACCCTAGGTTTTGTAGTTTTGGGAAGTTGTGGAGCTGCTTTCGGGTGAGCAGCGGAAGTCGCTGCTCTTTTTTGCTATGGCTGTTTTGAATGTGCTCGTGAACAGGATCAAGGGCTTTCGGTGGGGGTTCATATGCATGGAGCAGATGTGGATTTTTCTCGCCTGCCCACGGCTCACACATACTTTCACCAGTTCCTCATGCCGCTGTATGAGAGCATCAAGGCAATGCGCGCGCGTTTTCTCACCCTTATAAGCTCGTTATATATATTTTTTCATAGCTTTGGATTTGCATGATAGCAAGCGGGTCCTGCTTCTGTGTTTTGTAAGGTTGTGAGCAATTAATCCCCGGAAATATATTAGACCTTGCTGGTTGAGGCTGATATCGCCATAGAAGCCATGTACCTCTGGCTAACGAAACGAGTAAACCCTATGGCGAAATTTCAGACTGTCCTTTGCTTGTTGGAATGACCAATCCAAGCCGTTCGATGGTATCCGCGACACGAACCACCTTGCTACAAGCTCACCCGTACCGTACACTCCACTCCACACCACATCACCTCTCGTCTCCTCATCACTTTCAGCCCAGCCCAGCCTGTGCTCTGCTCTGCCTCCCGATTCCCGATTGTTTGCTCCACAACAATCCCTCCCTACATTTCGTTCTTTTCCCTTCATGCCAGTCAGACTCGGACTGGCGGCGACCCAGAATCTCGCAGAGCCAGTGTTGATAAGCACGACTTGCCGCGTACGCAGGCAGAGCGACTACTTGTAGCGGGGAAGCGGCGAATACCTGTAGCGACCATGAAAACAAGGCGAACCGAGCACGACTGAAGACCGTCTGTCCGTTAGTAGCAGTCCGAAAATGCTGCACCGTGGCGCATGTAGACGGCCTCGTAAGAACGGCGTTGGGTATTTTAGCATGTCCAACGGCTGGATTCTCCATCAGCAGCACCTCGAAGCACCCACATTCTTCACTACTAGTTTTTGCGCTGAACGCGGCTTCTCTACTCGAGCCTCCCGACAGCATTCGCGGCCATCACCATGGCGGCGGCGGCGTCATTCGCTTTCTCCCCGGCTCTTCGCTTCGCGTTCGTCCTGCTCCTCGTCTCCGGCGCGCTTCGACCGGCCGAATCGGAGTGGATCGAGGAATCCGGCGGTTCGAGGAAGGGCGTGTCCCTCACGCGCTCCGCTCACGCGCAGCTCTTGCTACGCAGACAGCGGCAGCGGCAGCAGCGGCCCGCGACCGCCGTCGTCCGCGGCGGCCCGGGCGGCGACGCAATCGTTTCAGCCGTCGGCTTTCCGCTCGTCCGCTCCGCCGCCTCTGACGGCTTCTCCGCGTCTGACGGCTCCCCCGTCGCGTCTGACGGCGCCTTCCACGGCGCCACCACAACCGCTACCTCGGACGGCAACGTGACGATCAAATACCACGGCGGACCGGTGGTGGTGGGCAATCCAACGGTCAACATTTACCACATCTACTACGGCAGCTGGGGGGCGGGGTCGGGCAAGGAGATTTTAGAGGCGTTCGTGCAGGCGCTGAGCAGCGACTCGGGCAGCCAGGGCGGCGCGGGGGACGCGAGTGTGAAGGGGTGGTGGGCCATCACGGCCGCGTACTACCAGTCTGGCGCTGACGGGAAGAAGAACGTTAGTTCCAAGGTGAGAAGAACGTGAGCTAAGCTAAGGATTGGGACTCGACAAGGCGGTAGCAACTCGTCGCATGGCGTTAGCAAGTGGCTAGATCCAAGGTGAGATGGACGTGGGCTGCAACGTGAGAAGAATGTGAGTGTGCCGCAGGTTCGTCTCGCTGGGACTGTGACGGACAACTATTCACGCGACTTTTGAGGCGCCTCAAAAGCCATTCCCCCCTGCACGCCCTCATCCACTCACCCCCCCCCCCTCTCTCGCTGCCTCTTGCTGCCATCTGCTCTGCTCCTGGCGCAGGTTCGACTCGCTGGGACCGTGATCGACAACTATTCACGCGGCAAGAACCCGTCAGACAGCGACGTGCACGCCAGTATGTACCGCTCCCCACCACTCTCTACCCAACCCCCCTAAGCGTGTCCTCTGCTTGTTCCAAGTGCACCTTCCATGCGTTCAGTCGCCTTGTCCTGCTTGATTCCCCTTCTCTCCCTTCACCTGCCGGAACGCTCCAGTACATGCACGCTCGCTGTCTCACCCTACTCTCCGCCCTCCCCTCCCCGGGCCTCCACCTGCCTCTCCCCCGCCCGTGCAGTTGTGAAGAGCCAGGTGGGGCCGGGCAAGCCCTTTCCGCTGGACCCTCACGGAATCTATGTGCTGTTGACCAGCGCTGATGTCATATTTGGGGACTTTTGCAAGAAGTACTGCGGCTTTCACACCCAAGACTCGCTCAACTCCACCCCTCTGCGCTTCGCCTTTGTGGGGCACCACGGACAGTGCCCCAACTCGTGCGGGGTAAGGGGCACGTCACCCAACGGCAACCCTGCCATCGATGCTACTATCACCACGCTTGCGCATGAGATCACCGAAGCTGCCACGAACCCGGACGTGAGAACGGGGTGGTTTGTTGACGAGGGCGGGGAGAACGCTGACAAGTGCTCATGGGATTTCGGCAGCACCAAGACCGTATCCCTGCAGAACGGACAGAAATACGAGTACAACTTGGTGGGGCTGAATGGGATGAAGTTCCTGGTGCAGCAGAACTGGGACTGCGTGCTGAACAAGTGCGTCCTGCAAAACACCCTGCCTTCTCAGGGTGGCGGCGGGGGAGGCACTCCCTCTCCTTCTCCTTCTCCTCCTTCTCCTTCTCCTCGTCCTCCCTCTCCTTCTCCTCCTCTCCCCTCTCCGTCTCCTCGTCCTCCCTCTCCTTCTCCTCCTCCTCCTGCCTCTCCTTCTCCTCGTCCTCCCTCTCCTCCTCCTTCCCCACCTCCCCCGGCTGGAGGCAGCGTGAGGATGAATTGTGATTGCAACTGTGCGAGTGCCAGCAACCCCATGAGCTGCCAGTGCTCCTGCACCAAGACAGGGTGATGTGTAGCTGAAGGGGTCGCCTGTGTCTTGTGGGGTGGACGCCTCACTGTAGCAGGCACGTCAGATACACCGTCACAGCTGCTTAATTTGTATTGTCCCCTCCCCAGTGACACAGGCAGACTGCTGAAGTATTTATCACTTGACTACCTGTAGTTCCTCTTTTCCCACATCTTTGCATTTTTCCTTGCTGTGTTATGTATTCTCACATATATTGGATTGCGGTGATGTTAAAACCAGGCTGTAACTTAGTAGGAACAGTACGGAGACAAAAATGGCATGTGAGTAATCGGACCTCTATTGGACGAACCAACTGGAATTTCCCAAGAGGACAAACCTCTCACCTGTGAACTTCCTGGGTCAACCATCTTCCAATCCAAGCTATTCCTTTGAACTAGAGCCGATAGTTGCACCGCGGCTTTAAACAACAGTGCGTGGAATAGCGATTATTGAGAACCACATTCGCCCAGATAGTGGACCCCAAATTGAAACCCCTAGGGTCCATGATATTGGGGATACAGCACTGCTGCCGATTATCGTCCCCCTCCCCTCTGTGCAGTAGCGTGTGTGCTGTGCATGTTTCTCCCGCCACTTGGGAGCATGGACGGTATAATGCATCTTCTCACTCTCAATGTCTTTGGATTTGCATCATCTTTTGCAACCGATTATCGTCACTAGACATCATGTTTTTAGGTGGTGGGTACAACCTGATCTATTCTACCCATCATGTTACCATATACGATATATCTATGTGGATCGAGGTGGAATCGGCTGGAGAGGGGACACTCGGAATTCATACGGCCTGTATAGAGCGTATGTTAGGTCAAATTTATCATCTCGGTGATCTCGAGGTTCACAGCGTAGGAAGCATCACTCATGCCATCCCACCACCACATCACGAGCAGGATTCGGCCATGAATGGAGGTCACAGCACGTTGCTTGGTGGTCACAGCGATTGCGTAACCTAGCAAGTTTACGATGATCACCAGTTGCCGCAAATATCACTAGACGGTGTGACGGAAGTGCTCTTCATTCGGTGTGCAGGCGTCAGGAGCTTTTCGGAGATCATGCGGTTACGTTGGCATCACGTGGACTACTACGCGTTAGCGTCAATGAAGCAACAACAAAAGCAAGATCGTCGAACTTTGCCGTGTCCTAAGATTGTAGATGGTGAAGACATTGCTATACCCGACGACATACCTGTCGCATTGTTTCAGCTTCTAGTGAACGACAACAAGAACTTCAGTCATGGGGTTGATCTCTCTGAGTTCTCCGTGACCATCCTTCCGAAAGCAGCAGCCGCTTCCATTCTCACGCAGTTTCTTCCTCAAAAGCAAGTGGTGTCGAAAACGTCAAGCCTGAGCACCATCGAATGGATGCTGGACAGTAACGAACTTAACGATGCTGATTCCATTACTCCCTTCATATCCAATTTTGAGGAACCTCTACTGCAGGATACGGATTTTCAGGTCGCTTTCGCATCCTCTTATGCGTCTGTGCCTCACAATACTTTGTTCCTTTTCTTTATTGGTAGCATCCATTCTCATAAATCGTGACCATGGCAGAAAATTGGAGAGGAAGTGTTTTACCAGATTGACTGTGATCGCTTGGCATTGGAAAACGTCGATCCTCCACCAGAGATGGTAAGCACTTTCAACATGAAGTCACATTGTATTTTCATATTCCTTGCTAATTCGTAAGAAATGGCAGAACGTCAGACGTGCAGAGGAGGATGCAGGACCCATCGCGATGGAATCTGCACCAATCAAGGAACATCTCGTTTCGTTATTGGATTTGGAAACAGCGTGCAATTCATCAGCAACTTCAAAACGCGACAAACCATACACGATGGACAGATTCTGTCCCGTGGATCCTCCCTGCATCCTGGACGACCCCATTAATTTCGGTCATTCCATGACGGATCCATCGAAGCTCATGAAGAAGATGAATCCGATGAAGCCATGTGAAGACGCCATGAGTGGTCTTTTGAACAGCCGTACTAACATGATGTCGCTGCTGGGTCCAGGTCGAATGGCCTTTAATCAAGTGAAGCCGACATACACAGAGACACTTTGCAAGGTTCTGGAGGAGCCAAATACTTTTGCTCGTGATTCCGCCAAGAGCGAAGATGTTCCGCTGCTTGATGTGCCATTCCCATCACTCAGCCAGTCACCAATGGTTGAGAAGCTGGCCGTGGAGCTGATTCACAAAGAGAAAAGCCTTCGCCTTGAAGCACTTCCCTCCATGAGCGTGTCAATGAAAGACTTCAACGAGCTGGTTGTGGCTCCTCAACTCACTTTCAACTGTGGTGGTATCCGATCTCTTCCAGTTCCACTTCTGCAACAAGACGAATTGCAAGGAGATGGAAATCTCCTACCTGTCACAGCGTTCTTATCTCTAAGCGAGTCACTGAAGGGGAATCTGACAATCACTTCTCGTTCAAGAGATTTCCTGTACCTGGACTGGCATCTGTCGCAGGATTTCAAGTCTTGCACTTCATCTTCTTGTTCCAATGCTGGCTGCATGCTCTCATTTCAAAGAGTTCAGCTGATCCGATCAGAACCACCTCAATCCGGCTCGCTGTTTTCTCTTATTGACGACAGGATGCAGAGCATACCTGCACAAACGACCTCAGGGATTGAGCAAAGAATGGTGCTGCCGTCAGCATTGGTTCGGATGGTGAATGCAGCTTCGACCTCGCCATCACCACATGCCTCTCATGTTGCTACTGCACCACAGCCGCCATGTCAGCCTCAGGTTCGATATGCTGAACCTCAGACAGCACCAAGGCCTCATGCACCGATATCACATGCAAGATTCACACCTTCACCCCAGCCTCAGCCTCAGCCTCGGCCATTGATCATGACACCACCCCCTGCTTCTCCAATGAATCTGCCTCGCAGTCGATTTGTGGCTGTTCCATCAACTGCTGATACTGCTGCTGCACCTGCATCTGCTTCTGTCGCTGCTGCTGGTGCTGCTACCGCTGTGTGTGCTTCTGTCGCTGCAGCTGCCGCCGCCGCTGGTGCCTATGCCACAACCGCCACCGCCTCTCCTGCTGCTGTTATGCTGGAGAATAACAAGGATAACCGACCAGACTCAGCTGCTAGAGAGGAGGGCAAGAAGCGGATCGGTTTCCAGCACCAAGTTCAGAAAATGTCAAGCAAGCTCAATTTCTTTATGAATGCAAGGCAGGGCAAAGCACAGAGTCTTCAGCAAGAACCACCTCAGGAGGTGGCAGCCGCAGTTGAGCTAACTAGACTTGTGGAAGAGGCCAGCTTCAGAGCACGTGATGCAGCAAAAGCTTTGGAAAAGGAGGTCGAGGATGTGACTGCTGTGCAACCCATTGGCGTTAAGTCCCCTCCAGCTGCACGGCAATCCTTGAAAGAATTGGATTCACAGGTCCACAGAGTGCAGATGTCACAAGACCTTGCAGATATCCTGAATTTAGCCAAGGGGGAATATCAGAATCTTCTGTGGTCACTGAACAAGGAAGCCAAGACGTCTGTGAAACCCTTCCGCCTGAAGCAGGAAGTCAGCCAATCCATCAAGGAAGAAATTTCTCAGCGGGCCTCCGGCCAGCTATCACACGACCGTGTGCTGCAACAGCTGAAATGCCTACACCTGCTTCACCAGTCTGCAATGCTGTGCTGGCAGTACGGGATCCGTGTTGCTCATCTGTTCTTGGAGCAGGGGTTGGAAGCCGCATCGATTGCTCACCTTTCACCGTCCTTCAAGAGGACCAGAGAAGCACTGGCGTCAGCATTTGAGCTGGTGGAGGGTGGAGCAACGGTGGATCACCCAAAGCTCTCCATGCTGACCTCTATCCTCAGAACCCATAAGAAGTTCTGCCAGTTACAGGACTCTAAGGGCGCTACAGCTTCTACAGGCTCTGCAAATGTGCTGATTGTTGCTGAGAACATGGCGTTTTTCACCATGTACAAGCTGCTGGGAAAATGCCAGTTCCAGCCCTTCCAGCTCGGACGTTCTGGAGCGCTCAGTGGGATCGATGGAAGGGGGATACCAGAGGGGAAGTGTGAGCTTGTGCAACGGGAGGTGCATGAAGCGCTTATGATTTCAGACTGCCTCTTGGTTTCTCCGAAGTAAGTGGATGTTGTGTGCCTTTCACATTGCTGATCCGTGGCTTGTTTCTTCAATTCTTTGCTTGTGCTAATTTGGATGTTTTCCTGCAGATATCTGGTGCCTTCATTTCCGGTGAACAAGTTCAGTATGGTGATTATCTTCAGTGATTTTGTGGAAGGAGAAGATCTACGTGTCCTTAATTCAATTAACAGAAATATCCACATTCTTTCTGTGGAGGACCCTGAAGAGACATTGCTAACGAAGGACAAGGTTTGTTACCAATAACTCTCGTTCTTTTTTTTTGTAGTGGAACAGCCATGTTGATACCATTTTTTTTTACGTGCAGACCATGCCTACACAAGCTGCAAAGGAAGTGCACCCAATTACGGCTGAGACGGTTCAACATTTAGAGCAGCAACGGACACCAGAGGCTCCCACAGTCATTCTCCTTGACAGCGAACCAGAGGATTGTTATGATGAAATTTCTGCAGCACCTGAAGCTATAAGACGTCCTGCCTCAGTTGAAAGGGAATCTGCTCAATACACGACTGTTGAGGAACATGAACTGGTCTCAGAGCCGAACAGTTGGAGGCAGGAGGAACATCTGTCACATCTTCGTCCAATTAAAGTTCATGAACAGAAGAAGGCTGCTGTGGAATACAAGAGGACTGTCATTGTCAACACCAGGGACCAGTTTGACCCCATTGTGCTCAGAAGAAGACAACTCTACGATAAGATCCTCCAGCTAGAGGAAAGCGGCATTCAGGTAAAGCTATTCTTCTTGTGCATTCCTCTTTTCCAGTATAAACGAATATAAATTGTTTTCTTTCTCCTCCGCAGATCATTGAACGGGATCTGGTAGCACCGGCAGAGATTGTGCTGAATGCGTCGACTTCATTAATCATCTATAATCCCCAGCGCCTGAAAGAAGTTCAAAAACTGGCAGCAATGGATGGGCTCCCATCGAGTTCTCTTATGACCGTGTGCTTGGAAGCTGTTGTGGAAACCCATCTGAAGGCTCTCAGCTTTGCTTACCAGACTTGCTTCCTGGTAAGTCTCACACCTGTCCATTAGAAAACTTGTAAATGGGGTTTACAAGACACTGAGTTAACATACTTGATGGGAAACCAGTGTCACTAACCCGTGCTTTACATCTGGAAGGTGTTTGAGGGAACTGACGCCTATCTGACACAAATCAAGCGCAATGTGGACGACCTTTATGCTGGAGGAGCAGCACTGGATCTGGACGTACAATGCTTCTTCTCATCATCTGAAGCCTCCACCGAGAGATTGATTCTTAATTTGCTGTCTTCAGCTTCTTCCCCTTCCACTGTTCAACAAATAGGCTCCGAACCATCAGCCTCCCAGCCCTTCCGCACGCCCCTCCCTGAATCCGAGTCTTCCCAAGAGACATTCCTGTGCCGATTCCCATCCCTCAACCCACTCTCTGCGCACATCATCATGACCTCCGGCTTCCCTCTGCCTGTTTTCATGTGCCTGCACCACGAGCAGCAAGCATCAGCAACAGTTCCTCGTGGCCTTCCATCCCGCTCCCTCAGCCTGTTCCAGGCCCAGTGTGAACACAAGACTTCGGCACAGCAAATACCAGCTCAAATCCACATGCCTGTTCAGGGCTCACGGAATTCACCTCCATCAGAAGGCAACCTGCCAATGTACCCGAGTGACATGAGGCAAACCGGTTATCATCCTGAAAGCGCATATGCTGGCGTTCCACCACTTCATCATGACATGCCTTTCAACGCAGACCCTCGGTATACTTCAAGTCATGAGCACTCAGTTTATCCTCATCCCCCTCCCGCTGTTTCTGCTGCTGCTGCTTCATCTGCGTACTTGGCGTCTAGTTTTCCCTCTGGAAAGCGATCGAGGTCTCCTCCAGAAGTGCCCTGGGGCCATCCTTCCGCTCGGCCAACAGCCTCAGAAGCTGAAACGCTGGTGTTAAGCGATGATGATGATGTTGATCCTGATCGGCCTGGTGGTGGATGGAGAGGATATGAGCAGCAGCATCGCCAGCAACAGCTTCACCAGCAGCAGAGCAGGTTCCACCAGCAACCACAGACACACGAGTTGTATGACAGACCAGGATCATCAGAGCGTTTGAATATGCCAGCTGCGGATGTGGATGCGTATTCATTTGGTGATGAACCCAGTGGTGCTCAGAGCTTCCCGTCTGCATTTGAGATTGAGCAAGCTGATGCCGCACCGCTGCTTGGGGATGAAGAATACTACCATAACCACATGGCTCAAGCTCGTACAGTCAATTCTCCAAGCAGCCACTATTCTGCATCACCTGCCAGTAGCACGTACTTTCAAGGTGGGTTTTCTCCTGAAGAACTCTTATCTTAGCAAGGACTAATCAATCTTAACATTCATTTCCTTGATGCAGGAGCAAGTGACTCAGAGCCTTCTCAAGCTCCCTCCGCTTCAAGTGGCGTCAGGTCTGCCTTGCAGGGCAGGATGTCAAGAAAGCAATCAGCAGGTCACCAGAGCAACCCTACAGGCAGCGCTTCCTTCCATACGGAATTTCCCCAAGCTGGCACTCAGGGAAACCCATACGGCGCGATGTCCTCCTCCCCTCAACTCTCACGCTATTCTGTCCCAAGGACTCGGCCTGATGACCACCAATATCCATTGAGACACAGTCCTTATCATGCGCAACACAGCCAGTCTGATTATTATCAACAGCAGCAGCAGCGCCCTTCTAACCCCCAGCAGTATCGGCCGCAGCATCAGCCGTTGCAGAGCTCTCCAAGTCAGGAAACATGGACTTCCCCACCAGCACCACCTCAGGCTAACAGGCAGTTTCGTGGCAGAGAGAAATCCACGAACCCTAACAAACGTGTCTGCACGAGCCTCTTCCAAGATGACTCTGCAAGGAGGCGAGAGGAAGCTGATGCGTCTCTGCAGAAGTTCCGGCACATAGGGAGCAAGATCCCCAAGCATGTGCTGGTGAAGCGGAAGCTGCAGGGTTTGCAAGCGTTTGATCAGAGAGGGAGCTCTTCTAGCAGAGCTGAGGATTCACGGCTGTCTTGGACACCAAGCGACAAGAGAGCAAGAGAGGTGAGCCTTACCTGACCACGTCAATCTGTGTCTGTTCTGGTGTGGAAGGTCCAAGTGGCGTTGTATATAGGAACTGACAATTAGACTTCTGATTGCAGGTTCTGGCTTATGAGCGAGCTGAAGGTGATGGGAAACAGTGCAAATTGGTGTGGAAGAAGCCAAGAGCAAGCTTGGAGTAGCTGACTGGTTTGGCTGTGCTTCAACAGCAGTTCCACATTGACTACGTTACAACGATGTGTTGTGAACACATGTTTTACTTCGTTACCACTATATTTACTGAATTGACGCCATACACTGCAATGCTGATCCACCCACGTCTTTGTAAAGCATGTGGCAGTTTCTGCATGACCGGAAACGTCCAGCCTTTTCTCTACACGGACCCTCACCAAACCGTGCATCCTATTCCACCCATGTCAGGGAGCCAAAGAGGAGAATCTTCCCTGGTAGTGGCCCTGGACTGGGTGCTATGAACATAATCTTGCCCTTGGCAATATCCACTTGCGTAATGCAGATGAATCCAGCGATGCTCCTGCACTCCAAGAAATGGTACAACGAAACACATGAGTCAAATGATAAGAACGCTTGCAACACCTGCAATGCAACCGCCGCAGAAAAGCACAGTCGACCACTTACGTAGACAAAGCACACCCGTCCAAACAGACAGTACAGTTTGCACACGCCCACAAAAATCTCACCCTGTAACAGCGTCCTTCTCCTCCTTGGCATGTGAAACTGCCAGCACATGATGCTCCAGCTCTCGAGAAAGAACCACCGGTGCAGTGCGAAGTGGGTCTGAAACCCTCGCTGCTCCGATAGGCAGCGCTGACTGTGGTGCCTGCGGCCCTCCCCCTACTCTCAGCACCGTGTACTCTGACCAGCTGGCCGTGCTCGAATGAGGTGAAAACTGACGCTCTGGCCCATAGAAATATGCCTGGTGAAAAATAGAAGAGATTTAGGAAAAGACGGGAAAAAAAGACAGGAAGAGATATTTCGGATCAGGTGAGGGATGGGCTGGTTACCAGAAAATCAGAACACGGGAATTTTTCATTTACATTTTTTTTCTCTTACCTTGACGACTGCTTGTCTCAACCTCTGCCTAAACTTGGAAGGGCGGGACACGGCACCTCCGGACCGCACAAGCTTCACCACCTCCACTGCTGCTGCATGGCCGGCAGGGGTACCATCCGCTGCAGCAGCTGCTGCTTTGCTTCGATAGTGCTCCGACAACATGCTGTAGAGCCGCTCCTGTGATGAGGAGAAGGGGGAAATGGGAGGGGGGGGGGGGGTGTTGGGGGAGGAAGCAGGGGCAGGAGAATCGGATGCTGAGGTGAAGAGCGCTAGGAGCTTCACCACCTCCACTGCTGCTGCATGGCTGATGCATGGCTGATGCATGGCTGATGCATGGCTGATGCATGGCTGATGCATGACTGATGCATGGCTGATGCATGGCTGATGCATGGCAGCACCACCATCAGCACCATCAGCAGTAGCAGCTGCTGCTGCTGCTTTGCTTCGGTATTGCTCCGAGGGCATGCTGTAGAGCCGCTCGTGTGACGATGGGAAAGGGAGGCGAGGAGAAACAGCTCCTCTGCACGTATCACTTCTCTGACGGTATCTTCTTTTGTATCGTCTTTTGAGGCGCCTCAAAGCTCTGCACGTATCACTTCTCTGACGGTACCTTCTTTTGCATCGTCGACTGCATGGTGGAAAATGCAGCGCTCAGAGAAGGATCCTGGGGGCTGAGGAGGATGTGTGTCAACACTGGGAGCTGAAAATAAACGTGGCATGAGGCACACAAGCCCAGGACCGGCCTGTGACAGGGACATTCATCTCGGAGCAAGCGCAGAATGAATGTTCCTGGCCCAGCCCAAGCACCATGTTGGCTCTCACAGCATTGAGCTTACACTCACCCACAGTATTGGCCTAGCACACGCGCCACACAGAGGTGGTGCATCCAGCTAGCTCACAGAGACGCACCTGCCCCAACACAAGCACCACGTTGGCCCGTAAGGCACGTGTAGAGAGGGTATTCTTGAGACGTCTCAAAAATACCCTCTCGACATGTGGCCACCCAGCTAGCTCGCATAGACGCACCTGCCCCAACACAAGCACCACGTTGGCCCGTAAGGCATCAATGGAGTGCAGCAGCAGCTGTAGAGATCACACAAGCCCAGGGAGGTGCAAGGAGAGACGGGAAGAAATGTGAGGAACATGATAACGAGGATCGGAATGTTGAGGCATCAATAGAGTGCTGCAGCAGCTGCAGAGGCAACGAGGAGAGAGAGAGCGCACAGAGAGAGGGAGGTGAGCGAGCAGATAACAACAATAGGAACTTCGATATTCTCTAAAGAGGACGGGAAACGGCGAGGGAAGAAATACGGTGGGATTGGTAAAGCCCGTAAACCACTAACCTGGTAACCCGCCCCATCAGCACATACCTGGTAACCAGCCCCATCAGCGCATACCTGGTAACCAGCCCCATCAGCACTAACCTGGTAACCAGCCCAATCAGCACATACCTGGTAACCAGCCCCATCAGCACATACCTGGTAACCAGCCCCATCAGAACATACCTGGTAACCAGCCCCATCCACCCATCCCATGCTGTTCGCTATGATCCCTGCTGCTGCTGCCTCCACTGGAACCGCCCCGATCGCAGCCGCTCCTATCGCAGCCGCCCCTCCTCCTGCCTCCCTCCCTGCTCCTGCTGCTCCTCCTCCCTCCTCCAATCCTCCTTCTCCCCCTCCTCCCTCTCCCAAGGGAGTGATGCCCAGTCGCCTGTCTGTCGCGTCTGCCAGAGCCGTCACTAGAGCACGGTATAGGTCAAGGTTCGCACTGGAAGGGGGGAAAGGAGGGAGCAGGTGGGGGATCGGGGTGGGAGGGGTAGACAGGTCAAGGTATAGGTCAAGGTTGGCAGTATGAAGGGGAGACAGTGGGGGGAGGGGAGGGGAAGGTAGGGGGTTGTCAATAGGGTGTTGGGGACGTAGTGAATCTAAGGGTTGCCTGCATGGCCAGTCGCCCGTCTGTCGCCTCTGCCAGTGCCGTCACCAGTGGTGGTCACGGTAAAGGTAAAGGTGCTTTTGAGAATTCTCAAAAACACCCTACATTACCCGAGAATTTTCAAAAACACCCTACATTACCTGGGAATTTTCAAAAACACCCTACATCACCTGAGAATTTTCAAAAACACCCTCAGACAGTGCCATCACCAGTGGCGGTCACGGTAAAGGAAAAGGTCAAGGTTGGCAGTATGAGTGGGAGACAGGGGGAAACGTTGGTGCTACCATGCCCTTACACACATAACTCATCGCCTAGGCCCGATTTTTTAGGCGCCTTACACACATAACTCATCGCCTAGGCCCAAATTCTGAGGCCCTAAAATTTTAAAAAGGCGCCACAAAATTGGTGCTACCATGCCCTTACACAAATACCTCATCTCCCCCGCCCACAGTACACACCTGGGGTTGGTATGTCCGTAAAACAGCACCAGGGGCGCCTCCTCCACCGTCCTGGCGTTGGCTTCTAGGGGTGCCTCCACTGGCGTGGCCGCTACTGCCCCCGCCACAGTGACACTGCTGTGAGCCACGTCTAGGTCCTGAGCCACACACACACTGCCACTGCCACATATAGGCCCACGGCACGCACAGGCACGCACCTGGGGTTTGTGTGGCCGTAAAACAGAACTAGGGGCGCCTCCTCCACCGTCCTGGCGTTGGCTTCTAGGGGTGCCTCCACTGGCGTGGCCGCTACTGCCCCCGCCACAGTGACACTGCTGTGAGCCACGTCTAGGTCCTGAGCCACACACACACTGCCACTGCCACATATAGGCCCACGGCACGCACAGGCACGCACCTGGGGTTTGTGTGGCCGTAAAACAGAACTAGGGGCGCCTCCTCCACGCTCCTTGCATTCGCTTCCAGGGGTGCTTCCACTGGTGTGGCCGCCACAGCCCCCGGCACAGTCACGCTGCTGTGAGCCGTCCATGCATGTTTCCGTCACCCCATACTGCTCACCTTTGAGAATTCTCAAAAGTCCTTTCATGCATGTTTCCCTCACCCCATACTGCGCACCTGGGGTTGGTGTGGCCGTAAAACAGAACTAGGGGCGCCTCCTCCACCGTCCTGGCGTTGGCTTCTAGGGGTGCCTCCACTGGCGTGGCCGCTACTGCCCCCGGCACAGTCACACTGCTGTGAGCCACGTCTAGATCCACGTAGGTGGGATGCCACTGCTGTCTGGCCGCCCAACACAGCAGCATTCTAGCCAGAGTGGATTTTCCACTGTCTGTGGGACCCACTAGCAGTACCCTGGGGACCTGAAAGGGCGGGAGGGCACAGTGACAGTGACACTGCTGTGAGCCACGTCTAGGTCCACGTAGGTGGGATGCCATTGCTGCCTGGCCGCCCAGCATAGCAGCATTCTGGCCAGGGTTGACTTGCCAGAGTCTGTGGGACCGACTAGAAGGACGCGGGGTACCTGATACAGGGAACAGGGAAGTGGAAAGAGCGAGAGAGGGAGGGCACGGGAGCGACAGTGACACTGCTGTGGGCCACGTCGAGGTCCACGTAGGTGGGGTGCCACTGCTGCCTGGCCGCCCAGAGCAGCATTCTGGCCAGGGTTGACTTGCCAGAGTCTGTGGGACCCACCAAGAGGACTCGGGGTACCTGGGGTAATAGGGCGAGTGGTAAGGGAGAGAGAACAGAGAAGGAATGAAGGAGCAGCACAGTGACACTGCTGTGAGCCACGTCGAGATCGACATAGGTGGGGTGCCACTGCTGCCTGGCCGCCCAGCATAGGAGCACTCTTGCTCGTGTGGTTCCCGTTGTTTGTGGGACCAACTAACAGCACTCGGGGCAGTTGGGGGGGATGATCGAGGCACGAAAGCTAGAGAGAGCGAGAGTGCAGTGAGAGGTAGTGAGAGGTAGTGAGAGGTAGTGAGAGGTAGTGAGAGGTAGTGAGAGGTAGTGAGAGGTAGTGAGAGGTAGTGAGAGGTAGTGAGAGGTAGTGAGAGGTAGTAAGAGGTAGTGAGAGGTAGTGAGAGGTAGTGAGAGGTAGTGAGAGGTAGTGAGAGGTAGTGAGAGGTAGTGAGAGGTAGTAAGAGGTAGTGAGAGGTAGTGAGAGGTAGTGAGAGGTAGTGAGAGGTAGTGAACGGTTGATCTTGTTCTCCAGCTGCTGCTTTTGAATGCACCTCGGAAACTGAGACGATGTTTGAAGCGTGTCAAAGAGTGAATCACCTTGTTGAGAACGAGGGTTGATCTTGTTCTCCAGCTACTGCTTTTGAAGGCACCTAAAATTCGGACACACTATTCTAATCGTGTCAGAGAGCAAATCACCTTGGTGAGAACGAGGGGGTTTATCTTGTTCTCCAGCTGCTGCTTTTTGAGACGTGTAAGATCATGAGACACTTTAGAGCGGCCTTAGAAAAGCGATACCTTGGTCAGAACCAGGGAGTTAATTTTGTTCTCCAGTTGCTGCTTGTGCCGCTGCAACCGCTGCAGCTGGTGCTGATACTGCTGCTGATGATGCGGATGCTGCTGCTGCCGTTGCTGATGTTGATACTGCAGCTGCTGTTGCTGCTGCAGCTGTGCCAGTTGCTGCTTCGCACGCATGAGGCTCCTAGCTGCCTCCACTCGCCGCACGTTCAGCACCGCGTGGAGATTCAGGTAGCTCACCATGGGAGTCTGGGGGGTGGGGAGAGGAGAGTGTGGAGTGGGGTAAGGGGGGAAAAACAGCACGGTGGAGTGGGGGCTCCTCCTAGTGGAAGGCATGCGGCCCCTCCAAGCAGCCTCCACTCGCCGCACGTTCAGCACCGCGTGAAGATTCAGATAGCTCACCATGGGGGTCTGGGGCGGAGGAAGGGGAGTGAGGTAAGGGGTGGAAACAGCAGGCGGGTTGGGCGCGCATGAGACCCCAAGCTGCCTCCACTTGCCGCACGTTCAGCACCGCGTGGAGATTCAGGTAGCTCACCATGGGGGTCTGGGGAGTGGGGAGTGGGGAGTGGGGAGTGGCTTTGGGGGATGGCGAGGGGTAAGGTGGGGAAACAGCAAGGTGGGTGGGGAGGTACGAGGCTCCTAGCTGACTCCGCGTGCATTGAGGTCGTTTTTGAGGGGCCCGTACCTCGTACCTCCCCACCTCAAAAACGACCTCAACAGCAAGGTGGGTGGGGAGGTACGAGGCTCCTAGCTGACTCCACTCGCCGCATGCTCAACATAGCATACATGGCACCTGACAGTGCTTGCGAAACCAAAGACAGCACATGCACGTGCACACCTCACGCAGCCCCCTACATGTTCCGCCTCCCTGCTTCCCCTGCCCTCTTCCCACCTCGTCTGCTGCATACATGGCATCCCGCAATGTTGGCGACCCAAAGAGACACACTCGGACTCACAGAAACTGATAGCCGCACTCATACTCACAATCACACTCACACCCCCCTTCCTATTCCCCACCTCATCACCTGCATACATAGCATCCGGCAGTTTTGGCAAACCAAAGCCACACCAAACACCGCACCCGGCCCCCTCACTTTCCCAATCCCTCCTCCCATTCCCAATCCCCCCCCGTCTCCCCCTCCTCCCCCATACCTCGTCAGCTGCATACATGGCATCCGGCAGTGTTGGCGACCTAAAGACACTACGCACACAGAACACTCACACACTGACAGTCGCTCACTCACACTCACAGTCCCCCTCCCCCCTCCTCCCCCATACCTCGTCTGCTGCATACATGGCATCGGGCAGTGTTGGCGACCCGCGCACCTCCAGACTGCACCCGTGCCAGGTGAACACCTGGAGGGGGAAAAGGGGGGGGAAGGTGAGTGGAGTGGAGGGGACTGTGAGTGTGAGTGAGTCAGTGTGTGTGATGCCTGCTGAGTGTGAGTGAGTCAGTGTGTGTGATGCCTGCCTGCTGAGTGTGAGTGAGTCAGTGTGTGTGATGCCTGCTGAGTGTGAGTGAGTCAGTGTGTGTGATGCCTGCTGAGTGTGAGTGAGTCAGTGTGTGTGATGCCTGCTGAGTGCGAGCATACAGGGCATCCGGGAATGAGGTCGTTTTTGAGGCGCCTCAAAAACGACCTCAATGCCTGCTGAGTGCGAGCATACATGGCATCGGGCAATGTTGGCGACCCGCGCACCTCCAGACTGCACCCATGCCAGGTGAACACCTGGAGAAGGGAAGTAGTTGTGAGCGGGAGACGAGGAGAGGAGGGGTAGAATAAGGGGCGAACGGGGATATGTCAATACACCCGCGCACCTCCAGACTGCACCCGTGCCAGGTGAACGCCTGAGGGGGAGAGGGGGGGGTGGGGGGAGGCGAGTGGAAGCGGGGAGAAGGGTTAGAATAAGCAGGGGAAGGAGATATGCCAATACACCCGCGCACCTCCAGATTGCACCAGTGCCAGGTGAACACCTGGCGGGGAGAGAGGGGGAAAGGGGTCGAGGAGGCATTCGGGTGAGGGGGGGGTATACCAAAAAGGGAGAGCGGGCGAGGAGGAAAGGGTTAGGACATAATCACCCCCGTTTCCGTTCCGTCATTCCCCCGTTCCCTGGTTCCCCCATTCCCCCATTTCACTGGTTCCCCCATTCCCCCTGTTCCCCCCGTTCCCCCATTTCCCCAGTTCCCCAGTTCCTTCCTTGTTCCATTCTCCCCGTCTTCTCCACTCCTCTTCCCCGACTCTCCGCCCCCCTCCCTCCCTCCGCCCTCTGCCTTCCGCCTCACCTCCGCCCTCTGCCCACGGGTCCCCGCCTGCTCTTCCCCTGCGCACCCACGCACCGCGAATTTCTCCGCGCCGTCGAAGGTGACGTTTTGCCTGACCGCGATCTCGGTGCGTTTTGAGTCGACTCCAAACACACCCCCCCGCCCGCCCGCTCTTCCCCTGCCCGCCACCCACGCACCGCGAGCTTCTCGCCGCCGTCGAAGGTGACGTTTTGCCCGACCGCGATCTCGGACCCGAAGATCTCCGCCGTACCCGATACAAGCTTCACCGTTAGCTTCGCGTCCCACTCCACCTCGACGCGCAGCTCCGTCTCGCGCTCCAGCCGAAACTGCCGCACGCTCTCCGCCGCCTCCGCCGCCGCCGGCGGCGCCGACGCTGACGGCGGCGCGATTGCCGCAGCGGATGGGTTTGCGGCGGCTACGGCCGCCATTCGCGGGGGGAAATGGGGAAGGGGGCGGTGGGAGCGAAGTGTATAACGCTGCGACTCGCTATTTTCCGCTCGTTACGGGGGAAAGTGGACATATGCTAATTTCCGTGACAATGGAGTTAGTATCGAGTTGTGCCCGCCGCTGCTGCTTTGCGACTGAACGGGGATGGCGAAAATGTTACAATCCTATCTCCCTTTTCGACCTGATAAGTCCAAAAATAACCATTTGAATAACTCCGATTACGCTCCACTACAGAACCAACTTCTCTACACTGTTTGTGCCAAACACCTTTTTTTGGGTTGCGTAGCAACCCTATACATTTGGTAGCACTTTTCGGTCGACTCAAATGAACAGTGCAGTTTTCGTCATTTTCCCAACGTTTGGAGCTCTCGTTTTTAACACTTTGAGAACGAGTGCTCCTACCGTAAATTGTGGAGATGACGGAAGCACTGATAACATAAGAGTCTCCCAAAAAGTGAAACCAAATGTGACCTTTCATTCCATAATCGTCGATAAATACGGCGAATGGAACAATTGGTCATTACGTATTGACACCAACACAACGACGAAAGAACATCCACTGAACGTGAATACGAGTCATGTGCATTTATTGAACATGTGCAAAAACAATGCACAACAACTGTGAGTGAACACAACAACGCACTACTGTGAGTGAACACAAAAATGGATCGGTGCTACAACAGAGATGGTTCCGGTATGCTAAGGCGAGCAACGCTGCCCCAACAACGATCCCCACTTCAATTGCAGACCCGACACACTTTAACATCACTCCACCAAGACGAGACAAGCGAGATAACGACGATGGTAACACACATTGTACGACACTGAAAAACATACGTACTCAAAGAAGGTGGAAAACGACAAACGCTTAACGATAACACACCCCAACGGTGATAAGGTGAATGATAAAATGCAGCAGTGCTACAACAGAGATGGTTCCGGTATGCTAAGGCGAGCAACGATGCCCCAACAACGATCCCCACCTCAATTGCAGACCCGACACATTTTAACATCACTCCACCAAGACGAGACAAGCGAGATAACGACGATGGTAACACACATTGTACGACACTGAAAAACATACGTACTCAAAGAAGTGAGAAAAGTAGAACGAGAATGAATGAACTATGAATGAAGTGAGTACATATAGGAAACCCTAATTGGGTTGTACCCCCTATGGGATACCCCACTATAGCCTACACAACAGCATAAGCTATATATATGTTCTGACACACCCCCATAGGCAAAGTGGGGGAGAACAAGGGGTCACAAGACCAGTCAAGCAAAGCAGAGCAAGCTCAGGGTGGATCACAAAGTCACCACACAGTCCGAGCACAACGACAGGGCAACAGGGCCAGTTCACATGCAGAAGTACACATATATATATAGAGCTAGACAAGCAAGAGCAGGTATATATATGTGACAGTACAAGCAAGGTCAAGAAGAGAGCAAGTGAGGCAAGACAGGTACAAGACCCAGCTGGGTGCAGAAGCGCTGATGGTCACAAGGCGCAAGTGCCTTGGTGAACACATCAGCAGTGTTGGCCGCAGAGGCCACGTAAGCAAGTCGCAACTGACCACGCTGCTGCAGCTCACGAGCAAGAAAGTAACGGAGAGCAATGTGCTTCGTTCTGTGCTCCAAGCGCTGCTCTCGACACAAGGCCAGCATGGCCTTGTTGTCTACGTACAGCACTGGAGGAGAACGAGGCGGCTCTCCAAGGTCAGTCAGCAGGTAGGTGAGCCAGCGAAGCTCCTGTGCAGCCATGGCCCCGGCGTAGATCTCAGCCTCACAACTGGAGCCGAGAACAGAGGACGAGCGAGTAGCCCGCCACGAGACAGAGCCGGAACCAAGACTGAAGGTGTAACCCTGCGACGACCGCTGCGTAGCCTGGTCGTCAGCCCAAGAAGCGTCCGCGTGCCCAGTGAGGACCACTGGACTCCGCCCTCCAAGCACTAGCCCCATGCCCGACGTACTGCACAAGTAGCGCAACACCCTCTTCGCTGCAGCCATGTGCTCTGGTCGGTGTCTCCCAGGAGCAACATAGCGTGCAAGAATGCTAAGAGGGTATGCAAGGTCAGGTCGTGTGCAGGTCATCAGGTACATGAGGCAGCCAACAAGCTCTGGGTACGGGCCACTCGACTCTACGGACTCATCCGAAGGCAGAGCTGAGAGCGAGTGGCGAGTAGACAGAGGAGTGGCCTGAGGCGAGGAGTACGTGAAGCCGAAGCGCTGAAGGACCTGCTGCACCATGTGTGACTGAGTCAAGGTAATGGTGCGGTGTGCTCTGTCCCGAGTGATCTGCAAGCCAAGGTAGCTGCGCAGTTCACCCAGGTCTGTGCACGTGTGTCTCTTCTGCAGCTCGGACTTCACGTAGGCTAGTCCAGCCGTGTCAGCTGTGGCAAAGACCAAGTCGTCGACGTACACGAGGACGTAGAACGGCGGCAGAGAAGTGTCGGTGCGCAGAAACAACGACGGGTCAGCAGTAGAGGGAGCAAACCCAAGAGCCGCAAGCGTAGTCCTCAGTGTGTCGTGCCACTCACGCGGTGCCTGGCGGAGACCGTAGACTGGCCGTCGGAGGCTCCACTGGGTGCCAGGAGGGAAAGTCCCAGTGAAGCCAGGTGGACGGCGCAGCCAGATCTCCTCGTGCAGGCTACCCTGCAAGAAAGCAGTACTGAAGTCAAGAGAGTGGAGCTCGTAGTCGCGCTGAGCGGCTATGTGCAGCAGCACCCGAAGAGTGGTCATCTTCGGGGTGGGAGAGAAGGTCTGAAAGTAGTCAACTCCCTGCCGCTGACTGAAGCCACGAGCGACGTACCGCGCCTTGAAGACAGGTGGAGAGCCCGGCGGCCGCTTCACCCTGAAGATCCACATGCCACTGACGATGTTCGCCCCAGGAGGGGGAACCGCGTCAACGTAGGTGCCTGTGGACTTCCAGGACGCCATCTCTGCATCCATAGCTGCCTGCCACTGAGAGGAGTAGGGACCCTCTACGGCCTCCGCGTAAGAGCGCGGAGTCGGGATGTCTAGTGCATCCGGGTCTCCCTCAGGGGCAAGTAGTACGGACGCGAGATGAGGTGAAGCAGCAGCCAGACACCGGAACTCCTCCTGCCTGTCCTCAAGGACGTCCGTGCCAAGAGCACACTCACCCCCGACGGACGGAGGACAGACAGACGCAGACTCAGCAACAAGACCGGCAGCGTAGTCTAGACGACAGCGAGCAGCAAAGTCGACGAGCTCAGCAACAAGCGCAGACGCAGCAGTGGACTCAAAAGAGGGGTCAGTGACGACAGTAGCAAGGAGACGTGTGACAGCAGGACTGGCAGCACGAAGAGAGTCCGACTCCGGGTCAGGAAGAGCAGGAAGAGAGGACTCAGGAGGAGAAGGCAAAGGGGCACGCAGAGGAGCAGTGGACGGACGCAGAGACATCCGGTGCGTGCCAGGGACAGGAGGAGGACGCTGACGCGAACCACGACCACTAGTGCGAGCAGCACGGACAGGCGACGCAGGGCGAGACGCAGGCTCACGACGCTCAGCAAGACCTCCAGTAGGACCAGTGTAGGGAGAAGGAGCGGGCAGTGGGGAGGCCGGCTGTAACTGTAACTGTGACAGGACAGGCTGTGGACACTCTAAGGGAGGAGGAGGACCAGTAGAAGGCGGGAGACCAAGAACCTGCTGAAGGAGCGGAACGAAGTACGGTCTAGGCCGCGCGGCGACTCCAGACACAGCAGGGACAGCACCAGTACCCCCAGCGGCAGCACCAGCGCCAGCAGCACCTCCAGCTCCAGGACCTCCAGCAGCACCAGTAGCACCCCCAGCAGGACCGCCTCCAGGACCGACAGCAGTAGCCTCAGCGCCAACGCCCTCAGCAGCTCCAGCTCCAGCACCTCCGGGACCCGCGGCACCAGCACCCTCAGCAGCCGAAGAACCTCCAGCTCCAGCAGCACGCCTCCAGCGCCGGGCAAACCACTCGCGCAGCTCCTGTGGAGAGAGGGGCTCCCGCCGAGGCGAAGCACCCGGAGAACCGCCAGGTCCCGCACCGCCAGACGCCACAAGGGGAGGTCCAGTGGCCGCAGGCTCCGCAGCTCCAGGCTCAGCACCTCCAGACGCAGCACCCCCTGGCTCAGCACCCCCAGTAGCAGCACCCCACGGCTCAGCACCCCCAGACTCCGCACCCCCAGGCTCAGCACCCCCAGTAGCAGCACCCCCAGGCTCAGCACTCCCAGACTCCGCACCCCCAGGCTCAGCACCCCCAGTCGCAGTACCCCCAGGCTCAGCACCCCCAGACTCAGCACCCCCAGGCTCAGCACCCGCAGCAGGACCAGAGTCACCAGCAACCTCGACCGGCTCGACTGCGTCTACCTGGGACACACCTGAAGGGGCAGGACCCTGAGGGGGAAGGGGGTCTACCGGGGGGGGACCTGGCACAAGGAAGTGCGGTGGCGGGGGGAGGGAAGGAGTGCGGTAGGGGAAGAGGCGGTAGAAGGGGACTGACTCGTCGAACGTGACGTCCTGGGAGGACAGAACACGACGAGAGGAGGGGTGGTAGAACTGCCACCCTGGAGCGTCAGGGGGGAAGCCGAGGAAGACACAGGGAGCAGCACGAGGGGACAGCTTGTCCGCAGACAAGTCACGGACAAACGCCCGAGATCCCCAGACACGGAACGCAGACGCATCGCCGACCTTCCCCGTCCACAGCAGAGCTGGAGAGGTCTCCGGCCGGGAGACCCTGGGGTGAAGGTTGATCTGATGCGCCGCGTACCGAACCGCAAACGGCCACAGAAAATGGGGGGCAGCCGCATGCATCATGGACGTACGAGCGACGTCCATGACCATGCCAATGCGGCGCTCAGCAATCCCATTTTGCTGCGGAGAGTCCGGAAGCGTAAAGGTCTGGCGGATGCCTCGTGCACGACAGTAGGCTCGCAGAAGGCCAGAGGAGAACTCTCCACCTCGGTCAGAGTGCAGACGCAGAACAGGAAAGTCC